TTCTTGAAAAATGACTCATGTCCATTGCTTGTATGTACGGAAAGTCTTCCAGTGCATTAACGCATATCATTTATTGTACAATATGTATGTAATTTAACGACGGGAAAAATCACGGATGAAAAGCCGCTGTCTTTTCTTTAAGCATATCGATGGAAATATCAAGATTCGGTATTCTGTTGCACTGACGTTTCAGGTGGAATATCCGTATTATTTTCCTATGATGGGAAGCATCAGGAACTGGCCTCACACATGATGCTAATGATGTACATGGACAGACAGACAGACAGTTTATTCAGTAAGGAGGCCACTGGCCCATAATACATACAGATAATAGTTGATGTTTTTATCTTTCACGTGCGCATGTTTTAAGAAGCACTCATTTGTTTCTAGAATTTACAATATTGTTAACATGGTACAAAAACAAGCCGATGTTGTACCTAACATCACAACTTTCATTTTGAAACAGATTCATCATAGTGTGTACAGTGTAGGGTTCTTGTATATATTTAACAATGTATTTGACTCTTAAATCTTTATAACAACCACACACAAATATGACATGCCATTCATTTTCAATATAATCCAGACCTTTTGATTTGCAGTACATACAAAGTCTCTCTCTTAGTTCAATATTGCCATATATTCCAGTTTCTACTGCTATTTTAAAGTTGCTACATCTAAATCTTGATAAAGACATCCTTGGATACACTGGGATGTCAGAACACAAATAGTTTTCAACATTCAACAAAGACTTATATTGCTTATAATAGAAGCATTTTGAAGAACCCTGTATTGATGAATACCATGACTGTTGTAGATTATCCTTTAGTCTTTGTTTAAAAAGATAAATGAACATACCAACATTTCCAATATCTTGATAAAACCAAGCATAACCAAAGCCATACCTGAGTAATATTTGTTTAACCTTTGAAACCCATGTGGTGCATCCAGCTTCATCTAAAGATTTTAACATAATGTAACATTGACGAAGCAACCTATTTTCAGGTAAATGTATGAGACGACACCAGTATTTAATAACACGCAAGAGATAAAGATATTGGAGAGGGAGTCTGCCACACTCGCCTAACACCATACCATTAAACGTAGATATGTTTACTCTTAAATACTGTTATAGAACTTAAGTTGTACGGCCTCAATAACTTTACAATCAGTGCCCCAAATTTCTGCGCCATAGCAGAGTATAGGTGCAATAATTGAGTCAAATATTCTAAATAAATCACAGCCATCTATGTTACCAATTTTACTTTGAAAACTGAATAATGATAAAATTGCTTCGTTAGCCGGAGATGATAAACATAGTTGTGATTTTCTCCACACAATCTTGGGTGTGAAGACAATACCCAGATATCTGTTGGCCCTTATAAAGCCATTTCTCATATGATCGTAGAGGACCACCATTCCTAAATACCATTACTGTAGTCTTCTTAAGATTGACTTGCATTTCAGTTTCATTGCAAAATGTTTCTAAGACATTAATCTTCTTTTGTAAAAGGTGACACGTGTCAGCAAGTGCTGAGATATCATCAGCAAACATAAGTGCACATAGGTTGTCCATGGCTTGTGTAATAAAAACACCTTTACCACCATCATTTAACATTTTCTTGTACAGTTCATTCATAAACATAATAAATATTTGTGGACTTAATATGCACCCCTTACGGGTACCCACATTGCAGGTGAAACATGATGACAGCCCATAGTTTGTTCTTACACAGGATGAAAGTTGAGAATACATCGAGACAATAATGTTGTAATACTTGCCAGATACTCCAACATCATGAAGAGATCTTAAAAGTACACCATGTCATATTTTATCGAAGGACTTTGAAAAATCTATGAAAAGGCAATAAAACCTTCCTTTTTTCTTACATGCATATTTTTGAATAATTGCCTGTAATGCAAAAATGTGATCAGTAGTTGAGTAGTTGGCTCTGAAGCCGGATTGAGATTCACTTATTATTTGTTTAAATTCACACCATTTCTGTAGTCTTTTATTCAAAATAGACGTAAATATTTTACATGCTGTGTCAATAAGGGAAATACCTCTATAGTTGTTTGTGTCTTGGTTGCTTCCAGTTTGAAATAAAGGACAAATAAAACTGTTACCCCAACTTTTTGGAAATATGCCTTTGTGCAATATATTGGTGAAGATATTTGTCAAGTTTGGAACAATAATGTGTTTGGCAGTCTTCAAAAACTCACAAGGTATGCCATCTGGCCCTGGAGATTTGTTATTGGGAAGATTTGAAAGGCTTAATAGAACGTACATGGTACAATAGTACGTATGTGATGTACATGGTACTAATACTAAACGAACATGTCAGGAGGAGCGTTTCACACATTCGTGGCACCCAACCCTCAACACACACATTATCATCATCTCCTTGATTGCATTAAAATGGTACATAGAAAATTTAAAATGATTCTTTAAAATGACGAAAATCTCGATTTGTTTAGTAACATGTAGGATTCAGCAAACTTAGCACCGGTAGATCCCCACCCATTCCCCAACCCGAGAACTACGTTTGTAAATGTTGATGACATCACTTCCGTTGAAGCTTGTGGATCGTGGAGAGTATTATGTTGAAAACTAATTTACAACTAGCACCATCATCACAATCTCATCTATGCGCAGAACGTTTCAGCCACCACTCGTACAACCACTATAACATGTGATATGTGCGACATCTGGTGTCTCATTTTTCATGATATCTCGAAGTGTTCTCAAACTGAACTGCTCTTTGAACCAGAAGTGAGTGAGTGTGTTTTACGGCGCTTTTAGCAACATTCCTGTAATATCACGGCTGGGGACACCAAAAATGGGCTTCACACATTGTGCAAGTAGAGAATTGAACTCTGGTGTTCGGCATGATGTTTTAACCATTACGCTACCCCACCGATCCGTACCAGAAGGAAACTTGAGGTACAGTACAACATATCATACCTTTTGCTCTGTTAAGATCAAACCTTCTTCATGAAAGTGTCACGTTGTGGGTTAGCTACGTGTATATGAAAGTGTCACGTTGAGGGTTAGCTACGTGTTTAGTGCGTTCGCTCGTTTAGCTATTGAGATACCCAGACAGGAATCTCAACACTGGTAAAATGTCCGAAGCCAAGTGCTCGTCTCCTGTTATGACATTTTCCTGGAACATTGTTAAGAGTGAAGTAAATATCAAATCACACCCTAATAGAGCATAGACAAAACATATTAAACCGACACTTATAACTGAATCAGATATAAGTTTTATTCAATGAAGAGACAAACAACTGGAGGATCATATTATTCCATCGTTCTCATGTTGTTCACAATAATTATTTCACATTACCTTGATGGGCACTACATACAAAACAAAACGACCGAATAGAAGAAACTATTGAAAACATTTATATGAGTATTCCCATGGGGAATAGATGATACGTCCAAATAAGGTGAGTGAGTGAGTGAGTGAGCGATATTACATCGCTTCGGCAATATCACAGCCTTGTAGCGATAAAAACAAGGCAATCATTATAAAATATCTGTCGACAAAGGACAGTACAATAGCTGGGTATATCACTGTTATTAAATAAAACCAACATGACCATAATTATAATAAGAAGACAATAAATTCAATAATTCATTCTTCCCAATTAAAACCAGGCTATAAACCACTAACAACCAAAGTTTGACCACCTTACTCGGGATCAAGGGGACTTATGGTGTTTTTGCTTCCTACATGATTTCCCAGCAGGATTTACGCCAACCCTTTGGTTATCAGTGGCTGTAGTGTTTAAAATACTCAAGCCAATCAAAATTTTAATGAGTGACTGAGTTAAAATTTAACGTCACATCGGCAATATTGCAGCCATATCGTGACGAGAACAGATGATATCCATATTCAAATCAATAAATGTATAACATAAAAACTTGTCATCGTAGGACAGTATAACTACTAGAATATCACAGCTCTTAATTTAAAACTAGTACGCTATCATAAAAATATATCACGAGAGACAACAGTACAATATAAGAACGGGCTATAGATCCCCAGCAACTGAAGGTTGATCACCATACTAAGGACCATGGGGAGGTACAGTACCTTTGCTACCTGCATGGACCCTAGTTGGATTTACACCATCCCTTCAGTTGTTGGCGATTGTAAGTAAATTAAAATAACTGGAATACTACGTTTAAAATTCCTGGTAAGTTGAAATCGACTTTGAAAGTTTTGGGACTTACGTACCCTCTGAGGAGGACAATAATTTTACGATACTTCAACCCCCCTTTGAGGATTAAAAATGTTAAAACGCAAGACAATATTATGTACTTTGATCAACAATTGATCTATTTTTCTCCCCATAAGGCCTCAATACAACATTGTCGTAATGCTAGAATGGGATGTCCGGATAGGATGCTCCTGTGACGAAGTATCAGATCTCATGGACTCTTCTTCAACACTCTCGGTCTGTCGTTGTCTTTGTTTTACATCTCTGTTTACGAATTATTTCACAAACAAGGGCTAAGAGTGCCATGGCCACACCCACCCCTGCACCATAGAAGGCGCTCTGCAAGGTTAACATGTCGACTCTCTTTGCTTTTCTGCTTGGAGGCGCACACTGATGCTTAGGTTTCCATCGATTCCACCACAGATGCAAGAGGCCGCTTTCGTATATTCTTAATATTCTGGAAAAGGTGACAGAAAATTTACACTGCAAGAAAGTTGCACTCGTCTACTCGACACGCATGATCGAACGTTTTAAGGGGCCAATTTATCTTCGAAACAGTGAAGTGATATCCTCGCTAGTATTTATATGCGGTACGTTTATTATGGTATCATTTGATACCAACGTTGTCATCGTTAACATAGCATGGTAGGTTCAGCAACTTTAGCCGACTTGAACGTGGAATGGATATGATTTTATGATCATAATAAATAAGCTTTTAGCCACATAAAAATGAATGAACAAATACACAGAGTATCAGAACATACTTCACTCACTGTTTGGAGAAGAGTTGTGTGTATGCACTGTGTTTGGGTAGGCCAACTGCGTATTTGCTAAAATAGAAGTTGTCGTGTAACATCTGCAAATCACACCGCCGAGGGTCGTCCCACATCTCCAGAGTAGACTCTTCTGCAATGTAGACATACTGGCTCTCGACAATTCGGCGCATGTGCTCGTCTCCATCCAGACTCAACCAATCAGGTTCGTTTGCCATTATCTCGTCCACTCCATGCCATACCTTGTGATAGACGGAGATGTTGGATTCCTGAAAACATGCAATAGGTGTTGTCTATAACATTTAACAAAGGCATGACTCAACGTTTCAAGAATGTGGTGTACTTAACGTCAGCTCCTCGGGGTGATAGCACTAAAACGCACACGTGCAATACACTTTGCAAGTCAGATAGGTTCCTGGGTAGCGTGTGTCCAAGGGAAGGCGATTTTTTGTGTAAACATTGCGTTACATGCTCACGTTTCACCTTACCTTTCATTGTGTCTTGTGGTTCGTCACTGAAAATGTTCCTTTCAGACCCTAATGAATTCATCTGCTGAGACACGGCTGTGTAAATTCGATGTTACTTTACCCCACTCACTCTTGAGCTGGCATAACTGAAATATTGTCCCAAGTTACAGGCCGCTTCAGTGATCGAGTTGATATAACCTCTACGGGCGAGTGGAAAGTTTGGTTTGATGATACCAGGTTATTTTCAAACATTGTACATGTTAAAGGCGTGACTTTATGGATGTCAGCTACTTCTATATTTGAGGAACACGACGTTTTGGAATATATTCTTACTACTTCATCGTTCATTACCTGATGAAGGAGTCAGAATATACTCTGAAATGTAGTGTTCTTCAAATATAGACGTTGATGTCTTAATAGCATCTCATGTTTTGATAAGCTGTTGTTAATTCACAATTCACAAGAGGCAGCAATGGAACAAGGGCAAAGTCATGCTTCAGTGTCATGGTCTACGATAAATCCATCCAATCTAGTTGAGCTATGTTATCTTAACGGAATAAGTTATGATGTTCCAATCATTTACTGATTATGCTTGCAAATGATCCAAGGTATTGTAAAACAAGCTGTCAAATTCAACAGATAATTGGCATGAAGTTACGCAACGAATAAACGCAATGGCTTTTTGTTTATTTTTTGGAAAAATTCACCCCAAGCTCAGCTTGCATGAACAATGCCGGAATTTTCTTTATTTTATGGATGTCTGATCCATGTCGATAGAACTCAAGAAAATTTTGTTATGATATGTTTCAAGGTATTGTTAAAAATCCATCTTTGCCACGTGGACTATTAACCTTTGAGATGTAGGGAACGATGCATGTGAGTCTTTTGAAGAGAAGAATATATCGCACTCATACTGACCTGAAACAGAGTAACCAGTGCTGACCCTCCTACAAATCCCCACTTGTACGTGTCCTGCTGCACCATCTCAGCCAGGTTGGAGAATGGCGGTTTCTCTCGTCTGTCGGCAAGGAACGCAATGAGATTTCCTCTGTAGGTGGAAGCCAGTATCACTGCGAAAAGCCACCAGCAGCCGAGTACTGTACGTCCGGACCCAGTGGTCGGAATACATGCTCCTCCTAGATAATAGGGAAAGGTGTACTGTACAATCAATGCACATGTTTTAGACGCTGGTATGTCAGAGGCTTCAGATGTTCCCTGGCATAATCGGGCTGATAAGTCTCACAACAAGATCAGGAGCCTTGCCAACATTACACGCAGTCCAGATAGTGAACGGAACTTGACATTGCGTCGTCAAACACTAAAGGACGCCTGGAAGAACGTAAAAACTCGCCCATACTACAGGCGTCTGCATTTACCAGGGCGTCAGAGGGACTGTGTTTCTTGCAGCAAGGCAGGATCCGTATATCAGTCAGGAGATTGGGCTGTACCAAGAGCCGAGGCCCTAAGTTCACATCTTGGATCTCTGGATGCTAGTACGGCATTTCGTATGCGGGGTCCGCATATTCGCCACTTCTTTGCTGATTCTTACGATTCACATAAGTTTCAAAAGGGACTAAGAAGTAAATCACAAAAGATTACATTGGATTTAACATAAACAACACGGTAAGGATTGTTGGTGTCGATACTTATAAGGCTGTATAAAGACCTATTCCATAGAATTTTGAAATTATCATGACAATCTTTACATATACTGCGTCGGATCATGGATGGACCTGGATTTTGAGTCAAAACCACAAAAATGTCGAAGGCATAATAGGATGTTTGTCTTTATTGAGGGCGTGCAGCTCTGATCTCCAAAATTATTATTATGTTTATACTTGTATTCTGCCAAACGTTTGTCTTTTATATGGGATTCCGGAGTTTACGTGTGATCGATAGAAGAAAATCATTCCACAGTCATAACAAAAAGCAACGATTGGTGACTATGTAATAGGTAATTAAAGCTGATGCCCTGTCAAAAACTAAATGTCACTGCATACATAAAAGTATATTGTAAAACAGAGTTAATATAACAAGTTAAATAGAAGAGACAAACCCCTTTCCACATCCATATGAAATCTCTGTTGAAAGCGATTGTGCAATCACCACTATATTATGAGTATGTATTTCTTTCAGTAGTATTACGGTGTATCATGTTGTTTGTAAATAATCGAGTTTGGACCAGACATTCATGTGATTGTCACTGTGCGATACGATGCCAGAACATGTATTTATGCACATTTCATGTCATCTTAGAAGGTCATTGAACAATACTGATTTACCGTTTGCCACAAGAGCTCCAAAATGATTGCAGAGTATATCTTCATATCGGGTCTGCATATCTGTTGGTCTGTCCGAACGGGCTGGTGTCACTTCTTCCATGACAAAGACGAAGGCAGTGGAGAAGATAAGTGAGGCGATGATACAAACAAGAACCTCATACCGGAACAGGGAGAGAAGGGTCAACCATTTGTTGGTGTTGGGATCTTGTTTGTTGAGAATAAGCGCTGAGTGGACGTAGACGTATGGCGCTGTGAAATCCATGACTGTCGCTCTGCTCTGAGTCATAGTCATTGATGCCACAACCATGTCAACTTCCTGGAAGTACAGACATAGCAACCTTTTAAAGGGGGACTATGTTCGGTCACGTTAGAAGTTCTTGCAAGTCGTTCAGTTTTCAGTTTTTAAGTTGTTTGACTTAATGTTAGCTGTGTGTAACCTTTGGAACACTAACAATTTTAAATATGTACTAAACAATGCACGAAAATAACCAGTGTCGAATATCAATCCAAAACAACCGATTTTGAGCAAAGGACTTAATAGCCGTGAAACGTTTATAAATGGACCACCGGACACAAAATCCAACGAGACCATAGTAGATTTATTGACATGTTCAAACTATTAAATGTTTTGGATTACTACTGTTGAGTGCAGAGATTCCTCTGCTTGTCCTTACACTCGGTGATGAGACTAAGAACACTGACTGATCATGTTGGACCTCACTATCTTATCTATCGGCGCCCGTGTTCTCTACCACAATGGAGGAATGGTGTGTAAATTATTCATGTCAGCACACTGGACAGACCCTTATTGTAACTGCATATTCTTACTGTAACATACCCCATTGACAATTAACTCCGCCAGCCCCGTCCAACTGCCGTTCAGTATCCGACTCCACTCTCTGTCTTCGGGCTCCACCAAGGTGTAGCTAACAAACACTAGGATTGTTGAGTCACAACAATTTAGAAAGTAAAAATGAACATTTGTTTTGTAATGAAGTGGTAGAGTTATTGTAATGGAAGTAATTAAAACATACCACACGCCGTTATAGCACACACGTAAACTAGTGCTAAAAAGAAACTATTCTCCGCAGGATTACATAACAATTCACAAAACTTTAAAATGAAGTAATAAAACCATACTTAGCCATGCCACACACATACAGACCCATCCTTTCCGTGAACAAACGGCGAAATGGGACCACCTTGATCGAAAAATCAGAAGAATACCAGCGCTACCGCTCAACAAGTGGAACAATGTCTCCCAAAGTAATGGCAAAATGATCACGCCTAACGTCATTCTTCGTCTTCGTTTTGGCGTGTAATGAAGCCAGGGGTGATCACACTCATTATTGATTCAACATTTAATGACATTTTGCAGAAAAAAAGGCTTTATTGATTTGTGTGAAAGTTCAGACTACTACGTGTCTTTCAGTGTCAAACTGTACTTTCGACTTTGTATGAAATTAAACTTGTGTACATTTGCTGTAGAATTGCTTTTCTTTTCTTTTCAAGTTTTGTTCAAACTCTCTGTATAATTGTTTGAGCACTCGTTTTTACAACACGGACACAAAACAAACACACACAAAGATATTGCACACTGAAACCTGAAATTGAGTTGTTTCGCCAGTTCCTGCAACAACTGGATGCAAAGACCGTCGAACCTGACGGAACCATTCTCCACTTTCCTGATCACATACGGCGCCCACTATGACAATACAAAAAAGCTGTTATGAAAGACATTCGGTTATTTCATGGTTTCCTGATGAACATAAACAATTTACCATTTCCTCTCCGAAACACGTTCCCGACCATACTTTTAATGAATAATATATATATATTTTGTTATTAACAAAACAGTTAAGTAGAATTTTCATTTCAAATATCAAAACATTTCAAAACATCCCAGACCGTCAAGTGTTTGAATAAGACATCCTACAATACGGTGACGCATGTACTGAATTTGACTGTAAATGTATCCTAAATTTGGAATTGATTTGTCTTGACAGCGTTTTGAGGTGTAATTGAGAACCACTAATTATATGATTCAAGTGTTCACTGTTCAGTGTTCGTTGACGTTCATCAAGCATTTCAATGGAAAAGACAAGATTTCTACAGATTGGATCAATAAAATGGGATTTACATTTGCTGTTTGTTCTTATATTACTAGTATACTTAACAGAAAGTATTATGGAAATACTTTCATGGTTGACTGCACTGAAACTTTGTTCTCTTGAACGGAAGGGTGTCAGTTTCTTGTGGTTATCAGAGAGTGGATGAGGCGCTCGTAAAATCGGAAATGCTTTTGAGACCATTTTGCAACCATTTTAAAGTTAACTCCCCTGGTTCTCGACAAGCACAACAGATTTGATCGTTTCGCTATGTGAAATTTGCTACATACTTGCCGCACCTATACAGGAGCGACAAGAGGGCGTATTAGTAATATTTCATTCTTCATTTGCTACTGTTATATATATCTAGTTATCATCAGTAATTATTTTTCGAGTGGTGATTTATAAAATGAAACATAAAAATGTGGGTCCGTGATCCCTTTGTTTTTCCATTGTTAACACGTAAACAGCTTTCGAACATTTAAAATTGTCCACGTTTTTCGCGGTAAACACTGGTTAAAAAGTGATCATTATGATAGACATATTTGTTTAAGAACATATTCTTTACATGAGACATTCTATTGTCCGTTTTTGAAATGATACTAAGAATAGTGGGTCTGGATATTCTATTACCAACACGTACAGCGTTGATCAGAAACAATAATAACAATGAGCAATGGTGTCCGACAAGCCAAACATCATGGCACTCTGCTCGGGATACATTTCCACGTGTCGCTCGTTAGCCAGATTAAAACAAACCGATTGTAAAGCTCTGTTTCCTATGAAATGAGAGAAATTGACATAGATACCTACATTGACATACGGTAGTGTATCACATGATCATGATGTCTTTAGAACAAATTCCTAAATTATCTCTGCTTGGGAATTAAAGTTTTTGAATCATTTAGAATCAACTAGAACCCATCAAGAAAGCTATGAATTTTTCATATAATATGCTTTACATATGTGTCCTTTAAACAATTATGAAATACATTGAATTATAAATAACTATAAATTATATAAATTACCATCCACCCATCCATCCACCCATCCATCATAGTAACTTGCACACTACTGTTTATTTTTTATACTGTTCCCAATTATTTTGAAAAAGCAATGTACTTCATATACGTCTCGAGCTTATTCATCAATCACCATTCTTCAGTTTATGCCTGGCCTTAAGGCCTGGTTTAAAGCAAACTAATTCAGTCTTAGATATTTGTCGCTGAAAAGCGTAAAAGAGACATAGATTCAATGCATCCAGTCCTGACGCATATATGAATATATCAATGCATTAGGTACTATCGAACAGAATGTAAGTGTATGTAAGGCGAAGCACGGAAAATCAATAGCCTTCTCAATACTTATAAATAAGGACAAAGTTAAAAATTATGAAGTGCAGTTTAAAGACCTCCAGAGTCCCGACAATAAACGTTCTGTTCTGAAATCCATATTCGCTGCCGTGATAGAGCTGCTGCTTGACTTCCAGAGCACCATCTCTCCCAATATTGCCAATGGTTTCAACATCTTTTCCAGCGTGGCTTGGTCTGAGAACTTGAAGTTTGGCTTGAATGGAAGATTCGTTTATGGATGCAATCTGCAAAAGTAAATGGCGTCCATTGGTGTGGAATCCACGAGTGGGATTTGTAGACCGTTTTCAGATATTATTATTATTATATGATATTTATATAGCGCACATATCCAGGCAACTAGTGCTTGCTCAAGGCGCTGAATCATAATGCTAATTTTTGCGCCTAGACTCCAACGCGATGCTGTTCTCTGGCGTTACATTATTACCCTGAAGGAATTGTACTTTCAAAGCTGCTACTAAGCGCTAAGCGCTCCCGTATAGGTCCGTACATCCGCTTTTCAGATACCCATTTTAAACAGCTGGGTGGACTGAGTGCAATGTAGACGAAGTGCCTTGCCCAGGGACACAACACAGTATGAGACCCAGGTCACAAATGTTGGTGTCTCCACCGGGATTCCAACCCGGGCCTTTGGCGTGAGAGGCCAGCATGCTAACCACTAGACCACTGTGCTCCACATTAACACATGAATACATAGATATGGCCAGTGTATTGGCAAACCAGTGAAGCCTTCTGACACGGAAGACAGACAGTATAATTTCATTAGCTGACCAATGCGGGTTTACTACGTAGTATTGTTGTTCAATTGTTGGCTACATAGTAAGAACAGTAATAGCCTACCGACGGGGCTTTACTCCCTATTCAAAATTTGTTCCTATAAGTTGAGGGGCAAACAAAGTAGATCTTTTTATGCAATGGAAAAAAATTAATGGTTGTTAAATTTGATTATGTCATCCCTGCAACAGTGTGTAAAGAGTAATTTGTGGCTTAGTAATTTTGTCAAAAATGCCTTCATAACAACGTATGGTATGAATTTACAACTTATTTAATATTTACAACACGACGTTTTGGCGCTACTTCTTACCCCTTTATCAGGTGAATGACAGAATATGGTTACGAGCAAAATATATAGAATGTACAGAGTTCTGAGAATGTTGAGATGTACAGAGTTGGAAGATATTAAGTGGTATGTTTATGCAATGGATGTACAGAGGGTTATACTACTAAAAGGGTAGGATATACAGGATAGGATTGATTTGAAGCCACTATTTTGCTCGTAACCATATTTTGTCAAGTTTCTGATTTTAATCTTTGATATCGAAATATCACGGCGGGGGACACCACAAATGGGTCATGTGGGGAATCGAACCCGGGTCTTCGGCGAAGTTCTAAAAATACAATAACCATTAGGCTACATCACCGCCCCAGTTACCAATAAACGTAAATTACTTGGGTGTTTATGGGTACCTTACTTCAAACCAGTGGTGCAAGTTTAATACTGTTCACTGGTTGCTGAAAAAGAGTGCTGAGTGCTGATAAACTGTTCATTCACATGTTGTAGTTTTGGAAAATATATACTTTTTCTTGGACTGATGTGATTTTATTTTTCTACACTATCCCTTCTGAATTGCGCTGTTTCGTTGAGAATGACCGATAAAAGCATATCATAGCATTCTATTTCTTCTTCGTTTGCTAATGGTTCATTTATACACAGGATATCATAAACTAAAGAAATTTCATTTAAAATCAAACATGATAAAATCTTCCAAGGCAGTTATGATAAAATTACCTCCTGAGAAGCATGGTTAAAAATTTATTTCTCTTAACGAATGGAGTTCTACAATGTAGTCACATTATCAAACAAATGGTTTTTACACCAATGTTAGGCAACACAACGGTATTAGTAACCGACGGGCAGATATATGATTTTACAAATCTCAGGTAATTTGTAGTAGAGCATTTAATTGAGAGTCAGCAAGAAATGAGATTTAATCATTCTGAACAATGTCACACAACGAGACTACTTGAACCCCATCAACAGTTATGTTTTGGCTTTAGATATTGAAAACAGATACCTTCTGTATCCATCCCGGACTGTCAACCGCCTGCTCTGTCATATTATTCCTTGATAAGTTTGATAGCGTCTTCATGATAACCTCCAGGTTCTGTAAACACGACATCATTCCAAATGCATCATCAATACAACTACAGATAACGTAATGATCCACAGACACATCCTTATTCTTTTAGCACGGGGTAATTTTATAATTTCCTAAAGGCTGTTTCAATTCTTTGCAGATTTACAGAGACTTCCAGCCCTAATGTTTAGTCTTTTCCTGTATAAGATAAACACAAGACCAACATGTGCTTACCAGTGGTGAAAAATACCTCGAACACGGCATGAACTCCAGAAACACAACACCATCAGTTTTGAATGCCTCACGACTGCGTGCAATGCCCATGACACTTCCGGTTGAAGGTACCATTAGCCATTGAGAGACCGCAGTTGAACTCGTCACTGACATGTTTGATTCAAGCCAGCGAGCCTGACAATAAAATACATGCACGTCGTACATCCCACACTTCACTAATCTTCTTTATATGCCTATTTCCATTGTCTTTTATCATTTTAACAAACATATTATGCCATTACATAGAAATTTAGATTCCACACAGCAGACTCTTAGCTTCAGTCATTGGCATTATAGACTGTTGACCCCGACAAGGTATTTTGTGCATTTGTTCGGTACGCATTATGTTAATGTTTTGCCAAACTGCAAGTGACATATTGTTGGGAAACAGCTTGCACTAAGTACATCTTCGGCAAACTGTCGATGTTACGATCATAGAAAACATGTCGTAGTGTTATACGTATTGTTATTATACACAGATGAAGTGGAAACTACGTCTATCAAGCAAAAAGCAACGTTGCTGAAATCGGAAGCACTACCTGATTGATGAGTTTCTCTATACAGTGGGAGGGAATCATCACAAGAAAGTTGAGATCCTCCTCCGGAAGAAGCTGGTAGATACTGGCCAGGTCAATACTTTCAAGTGGATTGGTGGGATCATCTATCATATACAGCAGTAACTTGATCGAAACCAGTCTGCCTCCAGATAGTGCAGTGAAAACTGTAAATACCGTCATTCCAAAGTATTTTATGAGATATAACTTTATACGCTGAGATCTCACTAATTTTCTGGTGGTATGTTCGATTAGTTATAAATATGGCCGGGTTTTCAAGAGATGTCATTTCGATTTTGGAGTTTTCATTGTACATTTATTAATGTAGAGCTTCTGACAAAAAGAGGGTGTGTCACTGAAGACGATTGCATAGAGTGAATGTCGTACTAAAGCATCCAAATATATCAATAACTGTCGTCTTAACTTTGACGGTTCTCATTCGTTATACAGTTGAGTTGAGTTCACATCGGCAGTATTCCAGCTATACAGTGCCGAGACCAAGTCTGCCTTCATACACAGTTTAGGTACAAAGTCCAAATGAGTTTTGTTTAAACGTACACATTCATGACATTATTTTTTACAAGCAATCCGTCATTCACATAACACAGTTACAATTCGTTATATCATGATATATGAACTTGCATACATTTCTAATTGACTATTATCTCAGAAATTGTACTCACGTTCATGATTTACCGTGGTGTCAGAAATTGTTTACTATATCAGTAATCTACCTCCATAGTCCAAATGAGTTTCTTGATAATTATATTCATTACATTATTATTTACAAGCAATTCGTCCTTCACTTTACACAGCTGTGAACTTGCATACTAAGTTGTATGTTGTCTCCGAAATTGTGTTCATGTTCATGATTGACAGTGGTGTCAGTATCTGCCTCCATAGTACATCCTTCATAGTGGTAACTCATCTCTATGTGTTGTGGTATTCCAAAGTGTATAGTGTATGCATATTGATAACTGACTGTTGTAAAATGAGTTGCATATGTGGAAGTCATGAGACTATTATTTATCAGACCATGCTTTTTAATTGCTGTCATCAGGGTTTTGTATACCATGGAGTGCGCTATTGCCTACCTTGATAAGATGAAGTAAAAACAACGAACGTCTTCCACTTTACATGGTTGAGCATTGAGGTGATGCCTCTCATGACGTCTTCCATGGAATCGGGTCTGATGAGGGCATCAAAGAAGGATTGCTTTGTGCTCGTGACGTTGAAAACTGACTTCATGTATATTGCATGGTCTGAGAGGAACATGGGGCAGATCACAGAACAGAGGCTAACGTTGAGATCGTCCCTGCAGGAGGAGTGACTGAAGTGACGCTGACAGGAAGAGGGCGATGCCAGGATCCCCATATCTCCATGTACCGATCTCACTGAAAGTTGAAACAGCATTGCTGGAAGTTTGACACAAGAAAGAATGTACAAACATAACCAGTATATACTTTTCAGAAGCATTTCTAAACTTGCTTGAATCGTACATTATTGTAATCACAAATAATTGACAATTTCCGGCTGTATTATAAGCATGTGAAAAATAGACCTGTCATTATGAGTTCTAACCTAAAAGGAGAAAATGACACCTGTCACTGATAGATATAAAGTGTCAACGCTTCGATTTTCGTTTTTCGCTTCCAGTTTCGATTTTCTGTAGAAATATATTCATTGGACAAAAAAGTGGAAAAAACCCTGATCAAAATGACGTGAACAGACCACAAAATGAAGGTATAAGCACAAGGTGTTCACGAATAGCATTAGCGTGTCCTGCTTTTTTGGTAAAACGAATGGTTCTTCTCTCTGACAGGGGTCTGCAGTCGCGATGAAATAACTGTTTATTTCATTGATTAATAGTGTTATGTAGTTTATAGAATCCAGTAAAATAGAGTTTTTTGACAACCTACATTTTTTAGACTTTGGTGTTTGATCAGAGCGTGAACCCGACACGCGCACAATTTGCAGGAAGAAAATAAATGTTTGTTTTTGCCTTACGCCGTACAGCAGCGCGGTATGTAAGCCCGTTAACATAGTATACTGAAAGTCCATTTGCTGATATTTATCAGAATCTAAGTATTGATCTGTAAAATATATATTACATCTGCCAGTGTATGGAAGAAATATTACCTGTCCTCCACGCAGCAAATTGCTCCTCAGCAGAGACCAGCCAAATGGTCACCATTAACTCATTATTGACTGAGTCATTTCTATGGCACACAACAGGATGTGGGCATTTCTCATAAGCCTTGGTGTTCAGCAAGATATCTGGTGAGAAAAACATCTGATTACATGATTGAAACCGGTAGTCTTTGACCGTTTACTCGTTAAATCGTTTGAAGTTTTTTTTAAAGTTTTCATAATGTTGTACCTGTTATCCTTTCTTCACATTTCCCAACATTGTAACTTTGTGCAATTAGAATTAACCCCCAATATCCATCAATAGCAGAAGCATGGTATTTGCATATTAAAATCTATGCAGCAAAGAGGGTTGTGGCGATCATGAATTATACTGTTTGTACTAATGCTGGATAGATAGATCGACAAATAGACAGATAGGTTAAGGGAAGAACAAGGGTGGTCAGATCTATTGCCTTGCATTGTTCTTCATGTAAGGGTGACATTATGCTGAATTTTCTGTTCCGTCCAATCAAGAACACGAAAAGAATATGAAAGGACGGGTAGAGTATGTGTTGCTTTAAAATTATTACGAGCTATATTTGTACTACATTTGTACTCTGCCCGAAGTGTATCATATGTGACATGGGGATTCAGGGGTTTGCCTCTAACCTTAACATTCTTGATAGCCAATAGTATCTAATAATCATGATGGCATTTGAGAACAGTGCTTTCAGATTTAACTGTCAATTGCAATAATTGCAAATACACAATATGTGTGAATATATTTACTTATACAATATAATATCATAGGGATATATATGATTATACAATATAACAACAGTACTCACCCAGAGACAGTGTCCAAACATGCGAGGATGTGTACACTATAAAGATGAACAACTGCAAGGTACAAATTCCATACATCATACGTCCGTTTCACAGGCTGTGTGTGTCTGGAAGAAGTCTGATGATGACTGTAGCATATGATTTAGTGCACATGCCTAATCAACATCCCAGGTGAAGAGTGGCGTGATCAATATTCAACTCCAGCTGTCATTTCTGTTGCTATTATTTACCCTGTATAGGAATATCAGAGCCGGTTATAAAGAATGTCAGTAAATACGCTATTCAAGCAAGGAAGTAGAGACCCTGCCAGTTCCACACACGTACACGCTTATACAGATAGCCATTGGTTTTCATGTAAATCGATGTGCAGCTAATGGAAGCGTACTCTATAGTTCAGAGTGTCATCACCGGTTATCTTACACGTAGAAAGAGCGCTAAGCCAATCAGCAAGTTGACGTTCTTTGCGTGATTCGTGTGTCCTTTAGTATACCATGAAGTGAACACTGCTGACGTTAATCATCGCATTGTATCACATACACTCATGTCATCAGGTTGGGAAGATCACACATACAAATCAATGTTGAAGCTTAGATATTCATCGACACCATGCGACTTACTAAGTCAGTCAATTTCAAAGAAAGTCAGACAACTCTTACTTAGAAGGGAGGTCTGAATGAGTGAGTTTAGTTTTACGCCGCTTTTAGTAATATTCAAACACTATCACGGCGGGGTACACCAGAAATGGGCTTCACAAATTTTTCCCATGTGGGGATTCGAACCCGGGCCAACGCTTTAACCACCTCAAGCCTCGGAATAAGCCATCGACGTCAGCTGAATTGGGACATGCGTTGGTTCAATACTACATGGAACAACATTCAAGCCTTATTCAATCGCTTAGTGTTGTCTACGCATCGTCGTTGTGAGAAGGTTAATGGTCACACGATTTATCCTACCGGGTACCCATTTTTCGGCTGGGTGAACAGAGGATGCTTTTGAACAAACTCACTTGTGAGACCACATGTATTACACGCGCTTCGTTGTGTGGCTGGACGTAAGTCCTAGAAAATCTCAGGAGCCAAGCTGCCAAAACACGGTCACCTCTCCGAGAACTCTCTGCGAATTAACGTTGCTTAACTTCGCTACACCACCACCATGCTATATAAAAACCTTTTTTGCATTAGAAAGAGGCGTAACATCAAACAATGCACATTTACTTTATCCAGTATTATATAATGAGTGGGAAGAATCATCAATTGGAACAAGCAAATGCCTTTTGGCGTTAGGAACAGCATTTTAAACATTAGTGACCATTTCCCCATTATAACGATTCCAACAGTACCATACACACACCCGATCTGTGATAAGATTAATAGCCTCAGGATTTCTCAAGAAAAGAAATATGCTTGCGATAAGCAATTTGCTCTGTCAGCATGGCGATTCTACATCTTATCAAAATGGTAGGCGGTGAGTGAGACCAGTGTGTATAGCGTTCACTTGTATTGACGCTAAGATACCCTGTCAGGAGTCTCTACATAAGTGCGAATTATCAGATCACATATGGAGTCTTCTTCAACACTCTCAGACTTTCTTTGCTGATTTGTTTACATCTCTGTTTATGAATTATTTCACAAACAAGGATTACGACCGCCATGGCCACACCCAACCCTACACCATAGAAGGCGCTCTGCAAGGTTAATATGTCAACTCTCTTTGCCTTGTTACCTGGAGGCGCACTCTGATGTTTGGGTTTCCATCGATCCCACCACAGATGCAGGAGGCCGCTTTCGTATATTCTCAGCAATCTGGAAACGGGGATAGAAGTTTACATCGTAAGATATTTACTCTTTTACTCGTCATGCATGCGCAAACGGCTGATGGGGTTAATTTATGATCGAAACAGTAAACTGATACCAATACCTTTACTTGAGTTTAGAGTACGATGGTCCCTAGTATGGTGATCTACCTTCGGTTGCTGGTGATCTATAGCCCGTTTTTCTATATATTGTATTGTCCTAATTTGAAATCCAGTTTTAGAGATAGAGACTAGTTTTATTTCTTGAGTCTGTGATATTCTAGTTGGTTTTACTGTCCTTCGTTGACAGGCTTTTAGTGATTTACGTGTATTTATGATGAAGTTA